TTCCTCTCTGCCCAACTTTCCAGCCTATCCAGGTCACGCTGAATGGCAGCACAGCCTTCTGGTGTGTCTACCACACCTCCCAGTTTGGTGTCATCAGCAAACTTGCTGAGGGTACATTCTAACTCTTCATCCAGAAGGTATCAGGGCTGTGGCTAACCACTGCACAGAGTCACAGGGACCATAGGATGTGTAGGGACCTTCATGCATATCTGCATGGGGATGGTATAGCAGGCATGTGTTTTTGCTGTGCATTTGCAGTCCATGCCAGACTTCTCCCTGAACAGCTACAGACCTCTGCTGTACTGGCAGATAGAGCAGGATATGGCTCAAAGTGGATAGTTGTGCAGTCTCCATGAATGGCTGCAAATCACTTACCCAGTATGTTATGCTGTGTTTCCCCTAAACCTGCCATTGCACTTCAGCAGCTAGGCAACTTCATGGTCTGTGAAGGTGAGCAGCCCAGCAGCAGATTATGAGTCCTCTCATTCATAGTGAGTTTGTAGTAAGCAAAGAGTTGCAACCAAACCAAATATGGAAACTGCCATATAAATGAACGCCTACCTGACAAAGAAGACAACTTTTCATTTCAGAAAGTTGTTTTTCATTGTATCTTATTAAATCTTGTATTCTTATACTCTCATTCTTATGCTAAGATTTCATTGAGTGCATATGTGAGCATGATGTGCATTTTACTATTGTTTGTATTAAATGTGAGCAGTAATTCTGGAAGTACATTATGATTCACCTTTTTGAAGAGTTTTAAAGCTAGCGCTGTTAATGTGAAACAGAATCTTTGGAACAGATGGGAATGGTCAGGCAATATCTGGAGCAAATACTTGGAATAAAAGCTTAATTACATGGATACCAAATTAAGGCATTCTTATAAACAGTTGTGGTATTTTTGACATGGTGGTAAAAAACAGAAAGCAAAGAGAAGCCAAATTGACTTAGCAACCAAAGTGTGGCAGTAGATTGATTCTGAAAGTCGACAGGTGAATGTTTTCCACAGTCCCAGCAGAGAGAAAGGCTGAACTGAATAGCCAAATTCCTACTGATTTGTTTGGGAGCAGGATCAAGTCTTTAATTCATGAAAAACTCCTGGTTTGTTTTTAATGAGAGTTACGTGACTTAGATCTTGTTTAATGTTTTGGAAGCACCCGCTAAGGTTTAAATCAAATAATAAGTTTTCTAGACTTTTAATAGCGTTCTTCATTGCACTGCTGTTACCTCAGGGTGTTTACTTTTGGCTGTTAGTGCAGCGTAGAAGTTGATACTATTGAGAATGGAATTGGCAAACCTTAAAAAAGAATGTTTAGATCATAAACATTTTAAAACAAGACTTCATAAAAAAGATGTATTTTTTTTTAATATGAAATGTTAGTTGTGTTCTTGGCAGACTTTGCTTCAGAGGAGTCACATGCATTTCAAAGAGCGTCCTGCTAGCCAGCTGTAGCCAAAAGATGATTTCAAACCAGTGAAGACTTAATTCCCTTTTCTCTTTTGCTCCCTACCCCCCCTTCTATAGGACTCTTTATATATCATACAGCTGAAGTGTAGCCAATCATGGGGTGAAAAATTCATACAACTAGTATACACAACAGTGGAAAGCATAGAAACACTGACTAAAGATGCCAATACTAGTCTGTACTTTAAGAAGTACTGTTGAGATTTCTTTTCTTCAACACTCTTCAAATCTTTAAACTTCAGAAACGAATACTCTTTCAGAGCCAGCAGGACTGCATAAACTATATGGAGAATTGCTTGTGTCTGCCCTGCACTTACCTGTGGAGTGGCACAGTCGTCTTTTTAGCAATGACTTGATTCATCAATGCTACATGAAAGCATATGTACTCCAGGGGCATGCAGAAGGTGGTGGGTTTGGGGGATAACTCATAATAGAAGATGTTGATGGAGTGGTTCTTGATTTATATCAATGAAGTGTTGATGGTTTATTGTGCTACACGTGATTTTTGGTTTTCATGTTTATTTGAAATAATAAATGCGTGTGAGAATGTTTGTTGTCCTGATTTACAGGTGTCGTTAGAGGACTTCTTTTTACAAAATATGAATTTAGTGTTGATGAAAGGTACTGCATGTAGGTAGCTGTGCAGGCAGAACTCTTGCCTCACCTCAAGCAATTACGGATGCCACAGCAGAAGTTTTCTGTACAGATCAAACAATGTACATTGTTCAGTTATTCCAGAACAGAACTTAACCCATGTTTTTTCTATAATGTGAAGGTGGAGTGTTCTCCACCTCAGTACTGAAGCCTCTTATTATTGTGTACCTTGCTGGCCTGAAATCCCTGCCTGCTTTGGACTGAACAGGGACAATTAAAACTGTTTTTACATTGATTGCTTGCTGTAGCTGTAACAGTCCTTAGCAGAAAAGCTTTGTGTCCATTGCCCTAAACTACTGTTAGAAAAGGTTTTTAGAGCGTTTTGCTGAAAATATGTCTGTGACTGAAGTTTGAAGTGACTGGCGGTGAGAAGATGAATGAAGAAGGGGCTCCAGAGAAGTGTAATGAAGATTCTTACTGACCAAGTTTGGAACTGGTCGTGAACCTACCCATTAGCTAACCCAAATCCTTCTTGTATGGAGAGAAATGTCAGACTTTGGTTGATTTTAGAAGCGTATACTTTAATGCAGTTTCTCTTCCTCTTTCTAAAAATCAAAGATTAATACAAGGAATTTATTTTCTGCAGGCCCATGTTAGCTTCATTCTTTGGCTGTCCAGTTAGGAACTGTGGAGGGAGCCCTGCACATCATAGGCATATAAGTATATTAACTTTTTTGGTTTTATTAATCTGAGTTTTTATTTGCTCAGGCTGTGATTTGCAAACCGGTCAGATGGAAGATAAAATTGGACGTAAAAGTTATATAATAACTTTAGAAATTTACCACATTCTCCTTCGGCTGAACTGGAAAGTTTTGTCAATGGAGTAGAAAGAATTCTGTTGCTAGGTTTAAAAAAAACCAAAACAAAAAACAACCCCCCAAACCCAAAACTTAGAAGTTGGATCTTCAGATTCTTATCTAGATCTGCAGTAAGTGCCTGAATGCAAAGGTGAAAAGCATCTACTAGGTCTTATTCAAATATTTAACATGTTGCAGATTAGAGATAAATACCGCACTACAAACAGGGCAGGTCACTGATTTCCAAGCTGATACCTTTAACAGAATGGAAAGGTAGTAATGGTAAGATACGCATCTATAGAGATTTTTCTGAGTGATAATGTTATGTCACCCTTTTTCCCTCGGCAAGTAGGTCTTGGATTGTCAGTGGAAATGTTCTAATCCATGATTTTGTTAGGATCTTTGTATGGGTATTTGCTGCACCATATGGATTTCATTCTGAAATTCTCCAGATTTAAGTCAGACAAAATTACTTTCTTTCATGTCTATCCTCTCTTTCTCAGTACTTCTCAGTGACGTTGCTGCTTGTCTCTGATGTCACTCACATGGAATCGGTTTGTTCCCAATGTACATTCCCCGTTAGGTGACTGGCTGCATCAGCAACAGGAGTTATTGTCACTTCTCTGATTTCAGTTATAAGTACAGTGAAGCATTCAAAAAGAACCATAGTTGCTTACATTGCCTACAGTCCTGTTACATTTCCCACAGGACTGTAAAAAACAGAGAGCAAACTATGACCCAACCTCATGTCCGCCTACATATCTGCCTTGCAGACCTGCATGACTTGAGATATTTGTGCTCTTAGAAGCCTGTATGTATAATGACCTTGTAATGGTATCAAGAAGAAGACTGGCAATAAAAAAAACTACCAGGAGCTAAAAACTAATCACCTAATGGTTCTGGGTGTGGGGTTGTGTATTTTTGAGACAATCTAGGTAAAAATTGTATTAAGTGCATCAGAAATACTGAGGGCAATTTTTTTAATAGGTCTGCCCATTTAAGTAGTTTGTGGGGCTGAGTCCTTGATCATTTCGAGAAAGAGTCCATTACAGCTCTTTGTATGAGTACGAAGGGTTAAACAATAAAGCAGAAGTACATCTTCATGCTTTTGCTTTAAAATAAAAAGACTGGATTTCAGAAGCAGCTATAAAGCTTTCAGCAAGAATCAGGCGAACACTACAGTAAAATGAAAAGCTGCAATGTGAAGAGTGCGTGATGTGAGGTGCCAGCTCAGCGCTTTCAGGGGATCATGTTGCTCTAGGAGAGGAGACCACCCTTGGAATCGCAGTGAACTGTAGCAGCAACCGGCTGCTTTGCAATGTAGAGGGTTTATGTAGGCTGATACCCCTCCACGCAGTTATGTCACTCAGTGGTAACCTCTCCTAACAGTTCTTCACTCTGGGGAAAACAGCTGTTATTGACAAGTACTTCTCTAGGGGTGGAAAATTCACCTTCCTACACAGATCCCAGCTGCACAAGGAAAGCAGAAGAGTAACAGTGTTCAGACAATAAAGGTTCTTTACTGAGGGTGTTTGTTTTTTCTCTTCTTTGTATAGGTTCAACATGGGAGAAAACATTACGGCAGATTGGTTTTGAAAGGTAAGCCATAAATTTGTTTCCTTACCAGTGCAAAAAGAAAAGGAAGAAAACCTGCATGGGCAAATTTACAGTATTATTAATTTAGCTGATCAAATGTACCTATGACCTCAAATTTAGAGGGGAAGTTATGCAGTGTCATGCACATATATGTTCAGCTTTTCCTTTTATGTCCTCTTCTCTTTCTCCAGTCAATCTGAAACAACTAATTCACTATATGAACTTAGCTCATAATGGTTTTTGCTGGCGACTATATAGCATGTTAATATTAAAAAAAGTGACACACTATTTGGGCAGAAGTCTTACTTATGAATGAAAATACTGCTCTCGCTCATATTATTTTTTCCATGAAACTTCTGACCTGTGACATATTAGTTGACGAAAGTAAAGAAAGTTGAAAGAGGATCAAAGCTGGCAGAGGAAAATTCAGAATTCAGCATTCCTTAAGTGCAAGAATTTCTTGCAGCCAAACTTAACCACAAGGTCATCATACCAGAAACATATGTCTCTCTTGGAAGTTAAACTAGGCCAAGCCCAGTGAAGAGTGATCTGATGTTGAGGTTCAGATGCTCAATCTCATGTTTATTCTTCTACAAATGGTAAGCAGAAGAATCTACTCTCCACTTGAATAAAGTTTTGCTTTTTTCCCTCAATAAAGTGGTTTGCAGTTGTACACCAGTGTGCTTGGGTCGCTGTTTACCAGGCAAGAAGGGATTTCTCTCCTTTGTGTTGCATGAGTGCATACTGTACATGCTCCCTGGGGCATCTCAGCAAACCCTAAAGACAATTAGGCCTTTCTGAATTCAATAAATAGCCATACAAATCATATGAAACAGAAAACTAATTATTTGCTTCTTTTCTCACAAACAGAAAGCAAGCTACATTTTTCTTCTGAACTTTACCTTGCATAAAGTTTTTATTACACCAAAACATAAGTTTTTGTACAACAAGACTGATGCTTAAGTTTAATTACCTTAACTCCTACCTGTAATTAAGATTCTCAGATCTTGGCAGCAATAGATGGGGTTTTTTTCTGTATCGTAGAATGAGTCTGCTTAACTGACACCACTTGAAGAAATAAATTTCTAAATACTTGACTTTCTTTGATCTCCGTCTAGAAATGTGGCACCTGGGGGAAGGATTAAGGCTATCTCTAAATAGCTTCCAGGTCTTCAAGAGCTGTATCACAGACTTGTGGTCTCTGAAATGTGGTCACCCATCTCTCTATGAGAATATCTGTTTGAAGTGTCTAAGGAGATGCTAGTGCCCTAATGATTAGTAATTCTCTCGCTTTAGAAGGTGATTTTGAAAGTGTCTATGTTGTGATCCTGAGTGAGAATGCACAGGGTCAGCCTGGTTTATCTGTTCAGCTAAATATATTAGATTTCCACATTAGACATTACATTTGCAAAAATTGAAGGACAGTGCACTTTTCAATATAGTAGACACAGAAGTGCATGGAAAGATTATGTTTTACTGTTGTTCTCAGTGCCATAAATGTTACGTTGGTACATATTATTTTGGTTCTTCAAAGGGAACATGGAAAAGCAAATCACTGTTGAATGTGGCAACGATCTGTCTTGGTGGCATTTAGCTTTTCAGTGGTACACAGCTATCTTTGTAGCTTTACAGGTTTGGGTTAGTTTAAAAGTAAAATATTACGGAACAATGAAAACACTTTTCCTCCACCAAATAATACATAGAGGTCAAATTAATTTCTATTGTAAATCTCTGGATACCAACAGAGTCATTACTGTAAAGACTTTAAAGACTTTGGCCAAAAAATTTTAAACAGAAAAAAAAAAAAGGCATTTTGTTGCCGTATATTTTTATCACAACTTGAAAATCCAGTCTGAAATAGAATACTTACCATTTTCTAGCTGAGGAAACATGGAAATTTTCCCAGTCAGAAACATTTTCAGACTTTAGTCAGATCACTAAATATCTCTCCTACTGCTCCATAAGCTTAGAAATGCCCCAGTAATATACACAACCTGAGTAGAAAATTGCAGACTTTGTAGTGCCTGTACTTAGTAATCCTGGATAGGTTTCTCATCAAAATCAATTTAAAAATGTTTCTGTCTCAAATTTTTAGTACTAATAATTTTCTGAAGTTTTTTCAAATAACTTTAACTAGCATAAAGTGAAGCATACTACTTAATCTGCAGTTTCTGTTAAACCTGTATGTAGACAGCATAAGGCACAGTGTTGATTGAAAGGAAGGCTGTGATTCCATTTTGTTACAGCATCAGGGGAGGGGCTGTGGTTCATAAACATCAACTTGAGAAGGTGCAGTGCCAAATCAAGAATCAGACTAGAAATTCCTTACCTGTGACAACTTACTGGACATTGTCTGTTTAGAGATAGAGTATTTTTAAAAGTACTGAAAAAAAAGTTGGATATTAGTGAAAATTACACACTCTCAGTTGCTAAGTGTGATATTGTTGAGGGGTTCTTTTTAATAGGTTGTGCTTTTTTCTAAAGTTAAATCCAATTTGGTTTCTTGATGAGCATTTCATTCAACATGATATCATACATGTCTGAAGGGCACTACATTAAAATATTGCATCTTTCATCACCCCATTCTTCTTTTAATATTACCAGTTAGCACCTGCTGATGCTGTTTGTCTCCATCAGAATGGAAAAAAAGTAGTTTTGAGGAGTGCTGGAATGAATTGATATCTTGGGTCTATGGTTTGAAACTGTCAACGGGAAATGATCAATTTTTTTAAGCTGAGTTTATTACAAGTTCTGTTTGTGGCAATTTCTGACTTGTGAGATGTTTCAAAACAAGAGGAGAATGCATGATACCTGTGTACGTGCATGTGTACCACATGAAACATGGGGAGTTCTTAACAGACAGAAAAGCAGCTGAGAAGCCTGCCTGAGAGGGGGCAAATATGTAGAAGAGATTACTGTCTAGATCCCATTATTGCCATTCTAGTTTGAAAAGAAGAAAGGCTTTCAAATGGTACTTCTGCACCTGGAGAGACTGATTGTCAGCCTGGAGTAACTTTAATTGAAGCAGCGTGTTAGCACGGATGGGGTGAAGATTTGAATATACTTGGCTTGCCATAAATATAGAAGCAAATGTATTCTCATATCAGCTTTTTCAGAGAACAGGCAAAGAGAAAACAAGAAAAATAAAGTCCTTTAAACAGGTAGAACAATTAAGGTTTGGGTTTTTTTAATTAATAATATTCATCTTCTTCCCTGTATTTTTAACACAAGCTTTTGTATAAGGTGAATGTAGCAGCAATAACAAGTTGGTTGACTAAAAGATGCATGAGTAACATGTATATGAAGTCTAGGGTTAACTCCTTTATAGCAATATTTGCTTAATATCATATTGTATGTGATTGCTTAAGATCAGTATTATTTCTTACGCCTTAAGGAATATTTTCCAAAGTAAACAAAGGGATACACATTTCTATATGTAATACTGTGATGCAGGAAGCATCACTCAGCTTGCATTCATGGAAGGAGAAATCTCAGGTCAGCAAATCTCTCAAACCTGAGAGATCATTCTGGGGGTGTATCGCTACGTGCTTTCCCAAGTCTTACTCTCTTCGGTAGACATCCCTTTATGGGCACTGATAGAGGAAGGATAGTGGGCTACATCTATGTTAGGTGTGATCCCATACACCTCTTCTCATATTATGTATATCAACTCTAACAAAAGAAGCAGCAGCAGCACATGTTTTGCTATTTAAAAGCATATTCTCTGCAAGCTGTTGACTTTGACACACCTGAGTCAGCTTTGAAATATGAATAGCATTTAAATGTGTTGTTTGAGCAAGGACATTCTTATTCCAGGAGTAAGCAAGATTTTTAGATGTACGAGAGCAAAGCCATTCAAAGCAGCGTCCTAAGGAGGAATAAGCCTTTGCTTAAAAACTAAAAAATTCATATAAAATGTTCCTCTTAACAGGCTGTTTTAGGGTGGATTGAGGAACAGAAGGAGATTTGGACACTCAGTTTACATTGCAGAAAATTAAGCCCAGATAATATACAGGTTATGTCATCACTGCTTTGTGGTTGCATGGTGTTTATTCTGCAATAGTAGAGTGTTTACATTGCTGTTATCTTCATATCCTGAAAAGTATAGAGGCACCAAGAGATCTGACTACTAGGCTTTTATGTAAGCATTACTTATGAGCTGAGGATGCTGCTTTTCAGTGCGAGAGAAATTAAAAATGCTGAAGCTTGAGTAAAGTAGCTTTATATCCAGGAAATGACTGGAGTTAAGAGCTTTTCAATTAAATGGAGTGTATGTGGGTTTGATAGATTTAAATGAAGGTCTTTGTGTTATTGATTGGTTTTTGAGACATTACAAATAAGCTAACTGTAACATACTATAGTGGCCATCACCTTTACCCAAGATGATCTTGACTACAGTCGCTGACTGCATTTTCTGCAGAACATTTTGGAGAATTTTGGAGAATTAGGAAAGATGCTAGCTTGTATTAAGCTGTCCTACAAGAAACATGCTTGAAAACATTTAGCATGTGTGATAACTGCATGTCATGTGAAGTGTCACCTCACGTGGTTTCTTCAAAAGCCAAAGCAAGTAGATTTGTGGATGTGTAGGATGACTTCCTTGCCACTATTAACCTGGAGATTATTGTTCATTATTGGTGTGTGTTTAGATGGCACCCACATATTCATGAAAATGTCTGGAAAGTGGTCAACTTTGTTCTACTTTGTTCCATATGTGACTAAAAATGTGTTAAGAAGGCATTGTTCATCTTACCGGCTTAAGATTTTTTCAGTCACACGCTGGACCCACTGTAAATGGCTCACTCAGACTCTCAGGTGGAATAGTTACAATTAACAGTGACTGTACTTCTTTCCTGGCTACTTTGGCAGTTAAAAAGAGAGCTTAATGCACAAAGCCTGTTAAAATTCAAAAGTGAAGAGGGTCAAGTCAGTCATTGAGCTGGTCTTCTCCTGTAATGCAGCCTGTGGGGTCTTTCCAGCTCGTGGCTGGGGTGAGGCTGGCA